ACTATTCTATCCAATCTAAAGCACTTTATAATTCACAAATCTCCAAGCTTATGAAATACCACAGCAACTTGGCAGCCATGCCATCCGAACTTTAGTGATGTGGTTCTAAGAAAAACGTTTTTAATCAACCTAATGCCTCATCGAGTGATATAAATCGATCGATTCAGTGAAAGTATAAGCCTTCACTATTATTTTTTATTGAAATAGAAAGCTGTGAGTAATTACTATGTCAATATCTTATAAGGTTTTGTTTTATTAAGATGGTAGTTATTAGTTTTGATTTTTTTTAACATCAACCTCTTGTTTGAGTTCATTCCTGGACTACTATCATCATCATATCCTCATATCATCCAGAGGATATCCAGCTGAACATACGCCTCCCCCAATGACTTCCAGTCAGGCCGGTTGGGAGCGACCTGTATTCGACCTGGACTATTAGCTCTCTACATTTACATCAGTCAGCTCTAATTCGGCACCAGGGTTGGAGATGGCATATTAAAAGGTTCAGGTTTACCAGAGAGCTCTGCTGCCCAATCTCCGTCAACTAAATATGAAGTTCCTTAGTTTGCAACACCCGCGGAAAGAGCATGGGTGGTGTGTCATTTGTCATCACACTCATCACTGATGACGATTGTGCTGTTGGATCCTTCATTTTGTGTTCTATAAATAGTTAGTTTAGAATCATGTAGTATTAATATGCGGCAGTCTATCGTAATGGTCGTATTCAGAAAAGATATCAACATTCCATGAACATAGTTAATTGTCACAGTCCTGTGTTTTATGCTGTTTCTCAGTAAGCCGTATCACTATAAACGGATATTGATACAAAATCTATTCTTAGTTTCAATTTTCCATTATTAAAACTATATCAAATTATCCGTGTTTAAATAAAACAAAAACTGGACAAGTGCGCGTCGGACTCCGTATGAAAAGTTCATGTTTAAAAACAGTAAAATTCTCGTTTGGTGTATGGGAGTCGTAGATGTACGAGTAGGAGTAGGCAAAGATGCACATACTCGTAATGTGACCCTGGCCTTACCACCACTCACCGTCCTCCATAAATCATACAAAAAAAAGAAACAAAACCTTAACCACACACAACTGGCTGAATGAAGACGCCAGAGATACAAAAAAAAAAGAAAAAACCGAATCGGGAATTCCACGTACGAATTCCGCGCGCTGTCAAGGTCGTTTGACACTTGATCTAAGATGGCGGACCGGGCGTCCTTGTTGCGGACGCAAGGATGCACATAGCGTACATCAGAGCCTGTTTCCAGCCTTGTAAGTCAAGGTTAACCGGTATATTGTGTCCTTAGAGTTTATTATAAAATTGTATTCTGTCATTGTCTTTATTTTATTCAGATGTTAGTGATATCGTAGTTGTAAGTGTTAGCTGGTCATATATTTTACCCTCGACGCTCATAGACAATCGCCTCTTTTTGCCTATGAATCGGTCATAGACAAAAAGAGGGTTCTATAACCGATTCGGGTTCGGTTATTATAATCAAAAGCCATGTTTCTGGCTTTGGTTCTGGGCTAGTTTTACGTTAAGTTGTCGTCGGTGGTATTTCCGAACCGATACAACCTTCAAACTTTCAAGAAAAGAGTGTATTCCTTTTTAAAAGGCCGACTACGCACCTGGGATTCCTCTGGTGTTTCGGATGACGCTTACCATCAGGTGATCCGTCCGCTCGTTTGACTCCTATTCCATAAAAAAATTGGATCAACAGTTTAAGAGCTACAAGCACTTTGCCAAGAGCTGGAGTGCTTGCTGATGCTTTCTAAATATTTGGTATATTATGCTTGTAAACAAATGAGCTGATTTGAATTGAGTTGGTTTTAATCGATAGAATTCTCTAAGATCAATTTGAAATGAATTTCTCATTTCTCTGTTCGAGAGTCGGGAGATTCTTATTGGTTTTTATTCTGTCGTCCTTAATATCGTTAACTTCCATTACATTCATACATTCTGGTAATAAAAACATACCGTGAAGGTGTACTTCACGCCTGCCTTTTTTAGTACCTAATTATATTGTAATGAACACCCACAAATTAATTATATACTCTTATTTGTTAATCTAATTTGTTTGATTAATATTTATGTTTTAGCTTTGTCTTTTATTTATGTATGAAGTTGACTCATGACTCGTGTATTTCATTATGTTATTTCGAATCGTAAGTTCTCTTAGGTAAGGATTTTTGTTCGTCATCATCACTATCATATCAGCCACTGGACGGCTACTGCTGAACATAGGCTTCCTCCTGACTTCCAGATTGGCCGTTATTTGTTAGTCTACTTTCAATAGACAGAGGTTCAATGAGATCTTGTGTAGTTTTATTGCCTTTTCTCTTAACTAGTCTCTGCCAAAGTCTTCGCTCGTGTTTCTGTGGGATAAAAAGTTTCCTATGTGTTATTTCAAACCATAATCTACCTCTGTTACAAATTTCATCACGTTCCCTTTAGCCGTTTTGACGTGATTGAGTAACAAACATACAGACAAACACACAAACCATTTTTTTTATGGCATAAGCCGGTAAACGAGCAGACGGATCACCTGATGTTAAGCAATCGGCGTCGCCCATGGACGAGGCGTTACAAGTACGTTACCGGCCTTTTGGGAATTAAGAGTTTGAGGATCGTTGGGATTCAGGAATTAGGGAAATTGGGGAAGGGGAGTATAATTGGGCCTCCGGTAACCTCACTTACACGACGAAACACAACGCAAGCGGTGCTTCACGTCGGTTTTCTGCTCGGCCGTGGTATCACTCCAGTCGACCCGGCCCATTCGTGCCGAAGCATGGCTCTCCCACACTTAAAATCTTTGCCGAACATTTCGTTGTCTTTCTAACACCCATCTTTAAACAAAACTTTATCTAATACAGCCAAGGTTTACGAGATATTTGCACAACTAGCACAACCTCGCTGCCTTGTACAGTCAAATATTAGTTAACTAGCGTCTAGCCCACGGGTTTACCCGAGTTTGGCAGAAATGAACCTATTTATTGTTGTAGAAGGCAGTTTGATTGATAATTGAGTATGTTTCTATATATCCTGTTTGATTTTTTGGTAGCTAGTGGCCAGATTCAGTAGTCTATTTGTCTGTAGATTGATTTTCTAAAGATACGATTTTATGACTGTATAAAACTATGTCTAAATTCTACCTGTGAGTAGTGAGCAATCGCGGTACGCTATGTCATTGGTTGTGAGAATAATCTCGACCAATGACGGGCGAGAACGCGATGGAGCTCACTTCTAGAGTTTGAATTGACATCTTGCATGAGGCACCGAAGCGGTGCCTCCTCCCAACCCAGCCATCGCGTGATGACTTCTCTCGCCTCACCCAGGCGGAAGACGTCATTCGATGATATCCGCCCCTTAAAAAAAATAAAAAAAACAGAATAGCCTAGCTGCTTCGAGATGGAGCCCTAGTAATCCGTAAAATTGTTCGCAGCTCCGGAAAAAATATGTCACCCTGAAAAAAAAATTTAAATTTATATTACATAATTTTAATCTACGACAAACAAACGGAAAATCCAATTTCTTTTAATATCGCTATAAATTATTTACGCGAAGATTATAACTTTTAAGGTTCGTAGTACATTATGTAAATAATTTCGTAAGTATACTCCGTTTGGGTACACGACATTGAGAATTTTAGATAAGTGATATTTGGTTTATTTTATACTATCGTGGGTTGACAGTACCTTAACAGTTTATGCAGAAAATTCTAGATTTATTACTGTGTTATAAAAATGTGAGGATTTATGGTTTAAAACTTGTCTCTGTTTTTAAATTTTGCATAAAATTATCGTGGTACTAGTTTCAAGTCCATGTTTGCACTAATTGTGCCAACTGACCTGAGCCGTATTATCCCTAAGGCATACTAGGCAAGTGCCTGGCGCCAGGTTACAGAGGGGTGCCGAGAGACACAAAATTAGGGATGCCTGTGGTTCTTGCCTAGGGCACTCTCTTGGTATAATCCAGCTGACTGCCGCACCTGAAAACTGTATTTTTTTTTATCTTGAAAGCATTGTATTGATCCTGACGACAAGTCGAATTTGGTGCAGTCATTCGGGAGTTAAGCACTTGCAAACATTACAGTGATTTATTTTTACTTAACATTTTGCCTCAGTATTATAATTATATTATTATATATTTATATTTATATTTATTTATTTATATCAGGCAACGAAGGCCCATATTAAAATACAATAATACTATAATATCTGCTACAATTTAAACTTAAAATACTATAAATACATAATGTAAGTAATAAATATAAACACTAATTATCACGACTATTGTGCTGTGTCAGCGTCGTGTGCTGCGCGGTGTCAGGTATCCGGCCGCGGAATCGCCGGAAAACAACACCTTTCGGCCAAAACTCTGGTATCATGAATTTTGGTAAATCCACGGAAGGCACTCTCACCACAAATGAATTGAAATTCACGCTGTGGTGGGATTCTAATTTCAAAACCCTTAGAGTGTAATTCGTTTTGATCTGAATATACTCTACAATCTCCTCGACCTTTGTAGAGTAATGCAGTCTGGACACGTACAGCAGCGTCACTGGTACAGCTGGACGCAGCAAATGTTTCGGCCCGGTCGGTGCAGTACCGCACTTGTTTTGGGATGACTTCTTTTTCTTCCTTTGAACAGTGATAAAGCCATCTCTATCGACTTGCTGCTTTTGGCGGGCGGGCTGACAGCTCTTCTGCTTAATCCCCTTTTCAGTAGGTCGCTTAGTCTGCAACGCAGTTGTTTTCTTGGCGACAATATCTGCGTAAGCACGTGTAGGGGTCGTCGTACCTACGTGTGACGTTACCGCAGCCGTATCCTAAAATAGCATGGTTTAACCTCTTGAGTGCCGGTATATGAATATACGTTGTCTCGCATAGATCTACGTTCCGGCATACTACGGGTTAAGGGCACCATTTTGCCTCCATCCTCCAATTAATTATGATTCGTAAAATTAACTGTTGTTTTCTTTTGCCTACAGATAAAGTTGGAGAGCGTCCTCGGACTGACGGTTGGCAGTAACGCTGCTCTCGACTGCGATCCGAACACAGAACTTGTCGCCTATCCGGCAGGGTAAGTTCTCTTTACTTCTCATATCTTGTTTCTGATTCTTCCAAAGATATCTTTTGCTGCCATCATCGAAATAGAATAGGAATGATGACAGGGTATGAAAATTAAAAATCGAAATACATATTTAAATATTTTTATTTTCAAATAAGTCTCCTACATCAGATAAACTAGAGCAAATCCAATATTAGCTCAGAATTTTCGTTAAAACTTCACTAACGATGCGATCTCAACAGGAATAAAAAGTTTTCGCCAACGACCTTCATCGATTTTTAACTAGGTCATTGGGTCAAGGATTCAACCCTGGATGACTATTACTTCTTTATTGGGTTCTGAGCTAGATTGGAACTTTGGTCTAGATTCTAAAAGTAGTAAATGGAGCGAGAAGTTTTTGTTTTAAACTCCGAAGTATTTTTTTATCGGATAAGCCGGTAAACGATCAGTTGGATCATCTGATGGTAAGCAATCGGCGCCGCCCATGGCCCGAAACACCAGAGGCCGTTACAAATGCGTTACCGGTCTTTTGTGGATTAGGAATTTGAGTATTGTATTGTATTCAGGAATTAAGTAGATTGCGAAGGGGGGTAGTTGGGCCCCCGGTAACCTCACTTACACGACGAAACACTACATAAGCCAATGCTTATGTAGTGTTTCTGCCCGGCCGTACTATGACTCCGGTCGAGCCGGTCCATTTGTGCCGAAGCATGGTACTCCCACAGTTAAGATTGTCCAGTAGCTTGTTATTATTCATCATTATCATCATCCACAGCCGGTGGCAGTTCACTGCTTGTCTGTGGTTCCTTCACCTAAGAGGATGAACTATCTATAATCTCCGCTTCTGCTGGGCGGGTTAGAGATTGCAGTTTAAAAGGTTCAGGTTTATCGAGGAGCATTGTTGCGAGGTGTCTGTCAGTCGGTTCTTACGCACCCGAAGCAAGAATTGAAGTTGGGATTTATATTTAAATCTACCATTACCATACTACGGCTACTGCATAGATGGCACGGTTGGCACAGTGGCTTGGCAACTGGCTGCCGCGCAACGTGTCGCGGGTTCGATTCCAGAACAACTCTTTGTGTGATCCACAGATTGCTGTTCCGGGTCTGGTGTGTATGTGAACTTGTATGTTTGTAAACGCATCCACGACACAGAAGAAAATCCTAGTGTGGGGCAACGTTTGAAAAACAAAAATACTGCACAGAATGAAATAAAATAGGGCCTACTATATTTTTGCTCACCAGATAGCGCTAGTTATTCATCCAATAAGAAATTAGCTGGTGTCACGCCATTGGACGATCAATATTTGACATTTGCTGTGATTACACAAAAAACTCTTTTTTAATTTACGCCATCTGGGGAGCAAAAAAATGGAAGCCCCCGTTCTTTAACACATTTTAAATTTAATTCCAAAAGCATTAGAGATGAAAATGTATAATCTGCCTCCGTATTTGGCGTTACCAACTCGAAAATATGCCGCTCGTTTCATATCCAGTGATATTTTAGCTCATCTCGGTTTCACGGTGAGGTGAATTCGATTTTGCGGTCACCGCCCGCCCTCTGGCGGTTAGCAAACTGAATTACCGAAGCGGTCTGGTCTAAATCTAGAAATTTAATGGTCTATCTGGTTTTGTGCCTACCTTTTACCTAATTGATAATCTCGTAGATGGATAGTTGACCTAATTTTAATATTAAATGCGAAATTCCACACAGCATTCCAACAACCACAGGTTCAGTTTAGCGTCAGGCACTAGATGTCTGGCATTGATGCTGAACTGGACCTATTTGGGTGCAGCTGTCGGGCACATACCTAACTATTATTGTTAGTGTTTTAACTATTAAGGGTATTTTTATTTCGACCCTTTGAAATATCGCCAATCTAGTCGATAAATAACCCGAGCGTACGGCGCGTCGCGTTCCGCGCGCGCCTCAAAGAGCCATCAGACCACCACAGATGGGGCCCAATAGGGCCGATGCCGATTCGGAGTCGCGGAGAACCTAACGGGTAACCGGGGCTCCGGCTCGACGTGCAGGAGAAGGAACGGGGTGGTTTTTAGTCAGTAAGAGTCTGACACTCCCTCCCGCCTCACCCAGGCGGGAGCAGTCATTCGATGATTTTCCCCCTTAAAAAAAAAAAAA